AACAAATATTCTAAATGTTCATATACCTTGATCGACCCATATAGAGAGCTGCTAGGGAAATATTCTAAAATTCAGAGAAAGCTTTGGTATCCTTCCCAGGGTTATAATACTGTATGTACAACCTAAATGTAGGAGAAGGAAATTATACTTCCACTCGGTGGACTGTTACGTAGCCATTAGAAATGGCAGCCATTAACCTGGGTAGGGGGAGAGGGGGAGGAATGCTTATATTCCAATGTTAAAGTAGAAAAAAATACAATACAAAATTATGTAAAATGAGTAATTCCAACCACACAAACAAATGCATGAAGGAAAGATATCAAAACAGTAAAAGCAGTTATACTTGTTTATAGTTTACTATGTTTTCCAGATTTTCTAGAAGGATTGGATGACTACCAGGAAAAAAAAACGCTTTTCAAATTGGATTTTCTTTTTGTTGTTGTTGTTGGTGGTGGTGGTGGTGGTGATGGTGGTGTCTGAAGTAAGGAACAGGCTCACAGGCACTGGTATCAAGCTTATGGGACATACATTTTTGTTTCCCCCTGGCTTTTTTATTAAGACACAGGAGAGAGTTGAAGAAAGGGAAGGAGAAAGTGGGGGCAGCATTCTCATCCTGATTAATCTCTGCAGTGAGGTGGGCGGGGGTTGTCATCTTTGCAGAGCCAGGAAACAGGTTCAGAAAGGCTCAGGTCCAAGGTTACCAGAAGGGCAGAGTCGGGGTTCAGACCCAGGCTATGGGGTCCCCCCACCGGTGCTCCCTCACCCTCACACCAAGGGTAACCCAGCCAGGATGGGGCAAGAAATTGCAAGGAAAAGGGCAAAAGATGAGTACAAAATCCTAGTGGTCATTCATATGATGGTATTTTTTAAAACATTGGTTTTAGTGTGTAGGATTGTGGACGGTCTTTTCCCTCCTCTTTTTTCTAGACTTTCTGTAAGGTAATATTAAGGTCTACTTTCATACATGTGCAAAAAGAAAACTGCGTTTGGATTCACTGAACTGTGAGCCGCAGGGAGATCCCGCCCGCTCCTGAGAGGACTAAAGGAGTTGGGTGGGGGGAGGTAAGAGGAGGCAGGGCACAGGGCTCCTGTCCCAAGCCAGACACTGCACCATAGGGCTGCAGGAGCCTCGAGATTTGAGGGAGGAGGCTGCAGCCCATGTGCATGCGTGTGCGTGTGCGTGTGTGCGCGCTGTGGGAGTTGCCCTTGATGGGAGCAGCAGGAGCTGTAGAGCTTTCTGCAACAGTGAGCCTTACACCTCCGAGGGAGTCAGCCCCACCCTGCGGCTTCTCCACGCCATCCACATGGGTTGCACACGAGTGTGCTGTGTCAGGCATCTTTCCAGAAAGTTGTCCACCATGGCTCCCTTCCCTACAGTCTGCATTCTCAACCACAGAGCATGAAGAAAGGCAAATGCCGAGGACAAGGCAGGACCCGGAGGTGAGCAGCTTTTGTTCTAGAGGGATGGGGCTCTAGGGACTGTGTGGGGTTCTGGGGAAATCCTGTCCAATCGCTCTCCACGGCCCACTCCCTTCATCCTGGAGGGTATCATCTCTCAGAGAGCTCTGTCTCACCTCAGTGTGTAAGTGGGACACTCCTTGGCAGGACCCCTGTGGCTCCATCCCAGGAGAGAGGAATAGGGAAACTTAGTTATACAATTCTAACACAAAGAAACATTAAGGGGAACCTTATTTTTTCCAGAAAATTTGCTTTCGGTCTTCCTACCCCAGGACCAAGTGCTTTTATTTTTCTAGCTCCTTTATCAACCTCTGTTCCTAGGTATAAACAAGACTGTGGGAAAGTCCCCCTTTGGAGAGCCATTTCCAGAAAGTGACTGGGGTTTAGGAATGAGTGTATGGTAAGGAGGCAGTGGGGGTGAGTCTTGAGCGGCTGGTGAAGGAAGATATCTGTGTGGCTAGGCTGGGGCAGGAGGTGATGCAAACAGCCATTCCAGCAGCTGGCAGAGAGGAAGAGAGAAGGGAAAAGGCCCGACAGGATCTGAAGGGCCCAGGCTCTCCAGCAACCTGTCTTGTGAGTGCAGAACCTCTTAACTTCCTGTTACACCCACCACCCAGCTTCGAGGCTCACCACAGACTCGGGAGGTATAGACAGGCACCCCACCAGTTCATACTGAGATGTAATCCCAAGCGATGACCCCACTTGTCGGCAGTCACATAGCCATGAGCTGGCTCTTAGATGGAGATGGGCTGACCCCAGTTCTAAGATTTTTTCTGTCCCAAATAGCACTGTGTCCTCTAGCCAAGACAACGGGCTCTCATTCTCCCATAGACAGAAGGAAGGGGAGAGAGGAGACTGAGGAAGGCAGAAAGACTGAGTTGTCAGGGGCTGAGGTAAGGTGAGGAGGAGGAAAGAGGGGAGCTGAGGGAGGTCTGTCCCACATCTCCAAGGAGCCGTGAGGTGCCAACAGGAGTCAGGTTTTACAAATTCAGAGTGGGATCAAGTCACCAAGGTGGGTGGTCAAGGGACACTTTTACCTAAATTTTAGGTGACTTTTGGCCATACATGGGGCCTCACTGCCCATCAGCCAATAACATCCCTCATGGCATTTTCCTAATGAGCATTTACCCGAGGCTTTGAGGGGAGAAGGGCACTGAGCTAGGAAGCCTGTTTTCATTTCCCCCTGTTCCACCTAACTGTGTCACCTTGGGCAAATCACTTGGAAAATAGGGAAAAACAAGAAGCAAATATAAAAAGTCTGTCTCTGTGCCTTCCCAACCTCTCTATCCACTTCTTTTTTTCATCACTCTCTTGACTGCTGGAGAGAGAATGACTACAAGTATCTCACGGACCCTTTCTTTTCACGAAACGTAAGAAAACACTGAAATCCAGGCCACTGACGCCTCCCTTTGGAGAGCAGCCTCCCTTTCACACCTCCTAAGACAAGGCTTTGCACTAAGCAAGACTCAGTAATAATCTCTCAACCAGCATTGGCGTGACTTCCCTTTGCTGCAGGCAACTGCCCAGAGGATTCTTTCTTTATAATCTTTCTATGAATGATTTAGGAGTAAGTGCCATCTCTGTTTGCATCTGGAGGAATAAAACCATAACAGAGAAATGAAAAAGCTGTGGTGTATCCAAAAATAACACCCAGATATGTTGGCTTCCCAGTTCACTTCTCTGTACCCATCAGTTCTTCCTGGATCTGCTTCACACAGCAGAGGCAGACTGGGACCCCCAATGTCCAGATACCCGAGATCAGTTATGAAACTGTCTCAGAGTAAAGGCAGAGAGGTGGCCCAGCAGGACTAGGGTTCCTAATCCCGCACCCCCCCCACCCCCGTTCTCATGGGCCCAGTCCTAACTCCTTCCCCACTGCAGGTGCCCTGCAGTCACGTGCTCTTGTCAAGTGATCTGCAGTGCCAGCCTGCACACTCTGCAGAAAAGAACAGGGGGGGAAACAGAAAGAAAGAAAATAGGGCTTTCTCCTGGGAACCTCACAGCCTCCCAGCTTATAAAAGCTTGTTACCTCCCAGCTTATTCACCTTGTTACCTTCCTGCAGAGTCCCCACTGGCCGGCAGAACACGCTTTCAGACCAGCCACCGCCCCCCCGCCGCTTTGGTGCATCCAAGAGAAATCATACTCGGTGAGGGGGATCTGCTGATGTCTCCACCTGGCTCAAAAATGCAGATGTGTGACCACAGGACAGGATAGGACACTGATGGTAGGGCTGAATCTCTCTCTCTCTCTCTCTCTCTCTCTAAATAGTGAGGCCCACTGACTGCGGAGCTTTTGTACCATGCTCAGCTTCCTCTGCCTCCACCAAACTTTGTGACTCATGTTATCTGTGTGCAGAGTGAGGCAGCTGAGAGGGCCTCAGCAGTGGCGGGTGAAATTGGGAACTTGCTCTTCTCCCAACGCTCACCGCCCAGGTGCCACCTGAGCCCCTAACTGGAAGCAGGGGTGGGAGGTGAGCACAGCTCCAGTGTTTTGGCTGATCCTAAAGAGCTGTCAGAACCCCGGACCTGAGTCCTGATGGACTTAGTCCATCGGGATCATCTCTCTCTTACACAAACACACACACACACACACACACACACACACACACACACACCTCAGTTCATAGCATCTGAGCCTCTCTATAAGGCCATTGATTCCTAGACTGGTCTGGGTCTCCAGTATTCCATTCATTAGAGATACAATGTGAGACCCTAATTGTTCTCTTTTCTTCACCCACAATGCCTCCAAACCAGAGAAATGCGTAGCAAATTTTTAAAGCGGAACTGTGCATCAGGAGGGTCTGGCTAACTGTTGCACATCAGTTGAGGGGATGGTTGGGGAAGGGAGGAAGAGATGTCGGGGGTGGGGGGTGGTGACAGCCAGAAGGTGGCCGACTCCCCAGAGCTGCGCTGTACCCTCAGCAGCGTCTCCTCCCTTCATCACTGAGGAGGGCTAATCTGGAAGTTAGGGAACCTGGGACCCGCGGGCGGCAGGGGTGGGCAGAGGCCACGTCCCTCCAGGGGCGGCGACAAGAAGCTCCCAGGACTGGCTCGCGCCCCAGCCCTCTGCACCGGCGCCGCCCCCCTCATCCTCCGAGCCCGGCGCAAGGCAGGCAGCGAGCTCTCCCCGCAATCCCAGACCGGCTTCCCGCATAAAACTCCCCAGCGCAACCCGCTTTTGTTAATTCTGCAAATGCTGTCACACGGCCACCTCCACCAACGCTCCCTGTCTGCTCGGCTCCAGGGGAGACCCGCTCTCCCCACAACGCAGCCGCTCGAGTCACTCCAGCCCCCCCGCCCCCTGACGGACCACCGCCCACCCGCCCCACGCCCGCGCATTACCGGCCCAAAGGACTTCCGAGAACCCCAGGGTCCCCGGCCTCAAGCATCTTTGTCCTCTCAGCGCAGCCGCGAGCGCACAGAGCGAGAGAAAGAGCCCAGCCGGGTACCGAGTCCGCGCCCCCTGGCCTCGCTGGGCCCCTCAGGGGGACAATGGTCCGCGCCCCTCAAGTTTGCGAGCCCGGAGGCAGAGCTCTCCTTACCGTACATCTCCGCGGGGCGAGCGCCTCCTGGGAGGCCGCGTCGCCGTGTCGCCTGCAGCCAGCCCCGGCGGCGCCTGCCTTTCATTCACAGCCTGGGCGGCGGATGGCGGCTGCGGGCGGAGGCCGGGGCGGGGCGGGAGCGGGAGCGAGGGCGGGACGCGGAAGGGCCGGAGCCGGGAGCCCCGCGCCCATTCAGCCGCCCAGACTGAGCGCGGCCGGCCTGCGCTCGGGTTGCCGGGCAGGGCCGCGCCGGGAGGGGAGGAGGCTATGCTAATGAGACGTCCCTCCCCCTAGCTCGGCCACTGCCAGGCCGCCCCGACCCCCCGCCCCGCCCCGCCCCGCCGCGCCCCGCCCCAAGCAAATTCCCGCCCTCCGCCTGCCGCGGCCCCAGCTGTCTCCCCAGAAACCCCAACCCCAAGATGCGCCCTTCCCAGCCTGTCGCTCCCAGGTCCTGGGCCGCGCGTTTTCCAGCTGCAGCGTTCTTCGGGGGAGTCGCCCACCCAAATTCCCTGCCCCTGTCGGAATGCGCAGGCCGACAGCGGACGTCGCCGCTAACCCTTGGGCCCAGAGGGTCAGCAGGGGCTCCCGAAGCTGCAGGTGTACCCCTCCCCACCCCCACCCCCGATTTGTCCAGGATGCGTAGGCTGAGCCAGGGGAGGCAAGGAAGAGGGACTAACTCTCCTCCCTTCCTTGGTTCCCTTAGCGAAGCCCCGTTCCCTAATTAAGAACTCCGCTGTGGCCCTCCCAGTCAGCTTCTGGCTACCAAAGAGCGTCCATCCAGCGCCAGGTACTCGGGAAACGGACCCCACCCCACCCACCCCCTAAGTGCTGCAGGGAATTATGCCGCTTGCATAATTCACACTTTTTGCGCCCAGGATCCTCTCTACTTGTGCTCCAGGCCGACTTCATCCTCTGTGACCGTGTGAGAAACAGACGGTAGGCAGAAGGCTCCCGCCCCACACCCTGATGACATCTTCTGGCCTAGCCCGTGGCTAAGGCTTCTCCATCCAGCTTCCTCAGCGTCTCACGCATTCACCTGGCCTTCCTTCCAGCATCTATTCCTTAGTTTCTCCTCTTACCCCATGGTTGAGGTTTTTGTCCCTAACATATTCTACAAGTAGGAGTGAAGGAGGTAACAACCTTAAAGATGGTGTGATGTCTCCCATTGTACAGAAGAGGAAACGGAGGCGGTTAATTTGTGTTCTTCCTAGATACTGAGCTGTGTGTCTGCAGGCCAGTCATCTACCCTCTCTGAACCTCAGCTTCCTGCAGAACTATTGGTAAGTTTATATAAAACCTACGTGAAAGTACACAGTGGGCACTCACACAGTTATTTACTTTCTTTCCTTCCTCACCCAAGGCAGGGAACAGAACTGGAGGGTTGCTGGACTCTTGGAACAGTGCTCTCTCCGTTGTACCCCAAACTCATGTTTCCTATTTCTCTCTGGCCTCACCATCTCCTTCTACTCCCTTGCTGTTTCCAGGTTTTGCTCCTGCTCCTTTACCTCTTTACCTCTCTTAGCAGCACATGTGAGCACTGGAGGCCCCCCTGGAAACCCTGGGAGGGTTCCTGAATTTCACATTTAGTCTAGACCCTCCAATGACTTACAAAGAAGCTCTATTTCTATTCTCCAGTTTTGGGAAGTCAGGTACCTTTGAGATCTGCTGAGAGTCACACCTGAACCAGGGTAGAAGGGAGAATTTGGAGTCAAGCTTGGTCTGAACACCAGGAGATACTCCCAGCCCACAGTTCTGTTCAACGCAAAATATACTCATTAAACACTGGTGCCCTCAGCACGGTGGCTAATGCACTGTCTATCTTCATGGAGTGAAATGTCTGGCCGGTGCTACTCCTGTATGAGGAAGTTGGGTGGGGGCACAGTCTTTTGGCTCACAGTTTTGTTTTTTTCTTTTTTAAGATTGTATCTATGTATTAGAGAGAAAGAGAGAGAGCATGGTGGAGCACAGGTGCATGAGCAGGGGGAGGAGGACAGAGAAGGAGAGGGAGAGGGACAAGCAGACTCCCCACTGAGCACGGGGCCTGATGCGAGGCTCCATCTCACGACCCTGAGATCATGACCTGAGCCGAAATCAAGAGTCTGACACTTAACCGACTGTGCCACCCAGGTGCCCCTGGTTCACAATTTAAATGTAAGGGCAGAAACCAAGAGTCCCAATAGCCAGGACAGTGTGCCCATGAAAAGACATCAAGCAGCTGTCAGCTATTTAGGTGAACTGTGGTAAGGAGGAAAAGTGAGAATTCAGATTTCAATCCTAACTAGGTTGTTTCTGTATCTGCAGAAACCCAAAACATGGTGATGAGTATGGCAGAAGGAAAGTAGAGAAGAAATAGCATTTACGGTGTGTGCATTATGCTTTGGGTCACTTTACATAGTTTATCTCAGCCAACACTCCCAGCAACCTTGCAAGGTCAACAGTGCTACTCTCATTCTGCAGCCGGGAAACTGAGGCCCAGAGAGGTGAGATGACTCTAGTAAATATCAAGCAGGGATTCAAGCCCAGGACACTCTGCCCTCCAGGAACCATTTTCTTCCCACCACACTGTAACGCCTTGCAGTCCGCACTGATGCACACAGGACAACTGCATTTTGAATTGAGTAGTTCTCCACAGTCCAAAGGCCATGCCCCCTTCCTTCTGGCCAGAGCCCAGAGCCCAGAGGTGTCCTGGCACCTGGTCGGCCAGGCTGGAGGAACTAAGCCTAAGGAAAAGTTATTCTCCATTAGCCAGAGAGCACCCTGGGGAACACAATCACTCCGAGCAATGTGCTTGGCTGCAATAGCTCAACGATCCCCTCAATGGGCACCACAATTTCCAGAGTTTCCGTAGGGACCAAAGGCCAGATTTCCCTGCACTTCAGAGAAAGGAGGGCTTAGAAGTGGGAGGCAGTCCACAACCATGGCATAAAAAGCAGGACTCTCACTTGCATCCTGGGCTCTAGCATCACACCAGGCCTGTCCTTCAGTCCAGGAGCCTGGCCTGTGATGTTCCAGCCCTACACAGCCACACCAGCTCCTCTGTGTCTGTCCAGGAGCCTCTAATCGCCCCACCAGCCACACAGCTACAGCAGCTCTTGCTCTGGGCACCAGCCTTCAGTGGTCAACAGCTTTAAAGGGCCTTCCAGAGAGAGGTAAAAGGGAAGAAGACAACAGCTCCGGGTGATAGTGCTCCCGAGAAAAGAAATGATCAGGCCTGGAGAAGGGTCTAGGGAGAACCAGAGGGAGAGTGTGCCCCTAAGGTTGTAATGTAGCTGATTAGCTGTGAAGCCTGAAATGGAACTCAGGATTCCAGACTCCGGGCCTGGTGACTTGAACCCTTGGCACTTCTCCCTTGAAGCAGGTACCTTGACCTACTTCTCAGGAGCCCCAGGGAAAGAACAGCCTATAAAAACAATACCCAAGTTTAGGAGCAGGTGGGTATCCTAGGACCGAAGAATGCATCTCCACAACACAGAAAACAGCCCAGAGCCGGGTCAGTAGGACGTGCTCTTGGCCAGGTTCCTGGAAGCTGCCTTGGGCTGCAGGAGGGACACAGGGGGACAGGGCTGCCTGCTGCTGTGAGATCACGGCCTGTGCAACAGAAGGCTGCTGCAGACAGATTTCACCTCTAAACCAGGTTTTGCCAGAGAGTGAGTGAAGTGAGGTATTGATTATTGACATTTCAAGGTTTAAATGTATTAAGCAAATTCTCCTGGTTACTGTCCTCTTCACTGTTTTCGGTTCCTCCCATGTTTACCCTCCAGAACAGAGCCAGCCTCCCTTCATTAGGTGCTGCTGTCTGTGGTCTTTGGAGAAGAGGCTCCCTTCCCATGTGAAGTTCAAATCCATGTTCACTTGCTTCTAGTAAAAAGCTCAGGAATTACCACACCCTTTGCCCCCACTCTTCTGTCCTTTCGCTCTGTCCTTGTTCCCAGCTGTCAGGAGCCACCTGTTCACCACTCATCACCTCCCATCTCCAGCCTGTGGGATGCTTGCTTCCACTGGGACACACTGAAAGACTTGAAGGCCCATGGCGCCATGTTTGTCCATGGAAAGACCCGGTTTAGAAGAAAGAAGGACATGGGAGGTGAAAGGCTGGTCAGACAGATCATCTCAGAAGGTCAGATCTGGCTTTCCAGACCTTGGCTAAGGAGACCAGCATGATACCGCACCCAGAAGGAACAGGTTTGCCCAGAGCCTGGCCAACCCGGTCAAAGCGGGGTTTAAGCGAACTTGGAGAAGGGAGAAAAACCTGACCACTAGGGAAGAATATAGGAAGGACATGTGTGATGCTGAACTCAAAGCCTGGGAAAATGGCACCAGTGGAGACAGAGCCCTGGGACTTCAGTGAGGCCAGATGCCAACTCTCCAAGGACGTTCCCCTGGCCTGCCTGAGCCATACCCAGGCTTCCCAGCCTTGTCTATTCACAGCCTCACGGTGGCTTTGGAGAGCACCTCTCCTTTTCTCCCATAAGATGCCCAGTCTTTGGTGGCCCTGCAGTTGGGAATCCCTGGCCATGCCCATTTCCCCCTCCCTGGACTCCGGTTGGCCACAGGACCCCTCTTTGATACTCAGCCCCATTCTCAGCTTCTAAATCTCTAAAGTCCTAAATTTCTGAATCTCTAAAAGTGCTCACTTTTCCAGCTCAAGGATGACAGCTCAGTTCAGTCCCATGACAGGATGCTCAGCCACTCCCAGGGGAAAATAATGAAGAAGCTCGCACATCTTTATACCAACATGCATATAACCAAGGAAGTCAATTTGATTTTGAACCCATTAGTATCTTACATCTGTTAGCTTAGGACTCAGTTGTGCTCTAATTTATGGGACATACATTTACTGAGACCATACTACAGGCAAGAGACTTTGTTAGAGAGTCTAAGAGAGAGAGAACTAAGAACGCTCCTGCCATCCAGAAAAGTCAGGTCTAGTAGAAAAGGTAAGTCAAGACATAAAAAAAATGGCATATCAGAAGAAGGATCAAAATAGAGTGTCAGGACTCTGAAAACTAAAATGTTGCTTAAAGGAATTAAAGAAGACACAAATGAATGAAAG